TCGTGACTGTCGTAAGCCGATCGTGTCTACGGTATGTAACGTCCGAGTCGTATCGGATCGTGTAGTGACGGTAAAAAAAAAAAACTTTTGGGAATTTCATTCCCACCAGTCACTAATGCTGGTAGGTGGCTGGAAATCCCTCCGGACTACGCCGGAAGGTAGAGCGGAAAACCCTCTTTAACCTCCTTTCAGGAATGGTGGGAATGGGTGGATGGTGGTTCGGGTGAGAAATATGAGACGAATGAAATAAAGACAGAAGAGAATGAAAGTTTATCTGTGGAGTATTACTGCCCCAGCATTTGCCTAAGTGATCCAAGAAAACCACAGAAAAACGGACCAAATCAGACGGACCCGGAATCGAACCGGCGTCCTCCCGAATGCTAAGCAAATGGCCTAAACCTTTAGGTTATGCCGCTCGGTGTGACGGTAGATACTGCCACGCCCGTTTATACGTGTCCGATTTTTCCCGCCCAGTTATCATCGTTCCCGCTTCTGACCGGTTTCGTGGACAAGCAGCCTAATTGTTCCGTCTTTTTATTTTTTACTTCTGTATACGTACCTAACCCTTAAAAAATACCTTTAAGCCGTTTTCTCAAGAAAATTAAAAGTTGGTGGCTCGTGTCAATGTAGTGAATATTTTACTTCGTTAAATAAACTTGCTGTAATTTTATAAAATGATAATTAAACTTCTGAAAAATATTAAGTAAAGTTTTACTTTTGTTTTGCGTTTATTCGAAACGATTTAATTAATCAATCTCTTTAGCAAAAAGTTATAGCGTTACACGAACAAAAAAGTAATTAAAACTTTCGTAAACGTAATTAAGAACTACCGAATAATTCGAGATTTAGTTACTTACAATAACTTGCTTATTTTGTAATTACCTACATTATTTTATAAAAACAGGCAATATATTTTGGATTTTATGGTTCAATATTTATTAAAGGAACTTTATGACTTAATGTTGAGGTGTATTTTATTACACAGATAATTGCAAACATTCGTTGCTTACAAAGAACACGTAAAAAACAAAAAAAAAACACGTTCTGTATTGGTTTCTTAAGCAGCAGTGACGATCTCTGCATTGAAAATTAATTGTATATTGATAAAGATTTCAAATACAACCATAGTATAACTCCTTTCTGTTAAAAAATTTAAATGTTAACGAAAATCATGTTTTATGCACCAAGTACGTTAAATTAAATCAACTATTATGCGACAATAGACGGTTAGTTTCCAGAATGCAAGTTGTGCTTCATTTTCCATTTTCTAGCAGTGGTCAACATGGATCAAGGATCAGAATACAAAGATTAGAGATGTTGCGGTTCTCATTTAAATCAGAATTCAAAAAATATTATTAGGTACTTATTGGTCTACAAATAAATTTTGATTTTTAGTCAATTTTTTTACGGCCTTCATATTTAAACAAGAATGGTACGTAAAGGATAATTATTAGGTGCTCAAGAATTAAGAAGGAATAAGCCAATGCTTATCCGCAAGGCCGATGTCGGTGGTATACCAAGGCAGGTCGACAGATTGAGCTATTAAATTTACTACTTAATAATACTACACAAAAATAGAAATTGATAATCTTCCGTATTTTTTTTCTACCTGCTCCATGAAACTTGACCTTTATTCGTGCGAAATTTCAAAATTCTAGTTCAACGGAAGGTTTTGATGATGATCAATCAGTGAGTTAACAGTCGGACAACAAAAAGTAACCCAAAAAAAACTTTTGAGTGTATCATTCCCACCAGCCACTAATGCTGGTGGGCGGGCAGTCCCTCCGGACAACGCCGAACGATAAGGCAGGAGGCCCTCTTCAGCTTCCTTTCAGGAATGGTGGGAATGGGTGGGTGGTGGTTCGGGTGAGAAAGATGATGATTTCAAGATAGACGGAACCGCTATCGAAGCGATGTCGCCTCGAATACTAAGCAATGGACTAAACCTCCAGGCCATGCCGCTCGGTAAAAGTAACCCTAAAAATGGCCCATTTTAAACAAAATTGGCTAAACGATCTCCCCCTTCATTTTAGGTGAAAATAGTCATCATCGTCATAAGATCGTCATTCTTAAGACAGGTTGAACACACACTAGTCTTAAGCGATAACTGTTTTTAGATATCAGTTATCAATAACTATCGATACCTGCTATATGATATATTGACAACTACCGATATATTCGATAATTATCGGTAGTTATCGATACATTAATAACAATAAGCAACTGATATAGGTACATCATTTTTAATTCATAGTAGATATTGTTTCTAAATAAATCCGTATATAAGTACATAACTGCTTTTTTTTTACTTATTTTTTCTTAGAAAATATCTTATTTCAAGAATATTTAAAACATTCCGTAATTACCACTACATAGGTCAATATTGAGCTATTTGCGGGATTTTATAAAACGCGCTGTTAAGACAGCAGGTAAAATTGGTCTGTGTTCTGTGGAAACTGTCTGTGACGCGCTGATGAGATCCAACAATATCGAAATCGCGAGCCGTGTCTGGCAGTTTCGGCAGAATACAGAACACTTCGAATTTCTTTTATTCGATTATGGTATCACGTAGTGGTGAGCTACGCCGGGATCCGTTTCAGCAAGTACATATCCATTTATTTAAATGGAACTTGTTGAGAATATGTGTTCCTAAAATGTAGAATTGTACTACAGATGGCGTTTACCGCGCCATTTGCGGGATTTTGTTAAGGTATTTCAAAAAAATTGACTATTTCGTTTTTTTTTTTTCGAAAAACTGAAAGAACAATAGAGTCTCTCTAAACATAGATCCTGTTAAAATATAAACCTTAATATTAATATTTACAGGTGGCATTTATTTCTATTTCCCACTTAAATAACAGGATTTTTCTTTTTTACAAATAATTATCGATATATCGATACACGTATTGGATAATTATCGATAGTTATGAATATATCGATACACATTCATTGATAATATAACTATTAATACATTGATAACTATCGGTAAGTAATTATCGAATATATCGAAATACCGATAAGTATCGATAATTATCGATAATTATCCATATATCGATATTTTTGCCGAGCACTAACACGCACTTTTTCCTATCCTGAGCTAATCTTCGCATTTCCGCAAACTAGAATATCCCATATCCTTAATTATTTGTGAACAGTAATCTAATCCAGGTCTACCTCTACTCCTCTTAACTCCTGCTTCTGCTTCTTTGAAAACTAATAAAAACAAAACCATTTTAAGAAAATGTATTAGGCAATTCTTTTAACCGTCTAAAATTGATTCTCAAAGTGTTACTGTTCGAATAATAAAGCAGTACAGCAATAATAAACAGCTATAACAGTAAAAAAATCAGATAATTATTTATTAACAGGTGAAAATCATTATAACACTGAAAACAGTTGACTTAACTCAAAGGATTACAAACGGTTGCTTATGATTCAATTAGCAGGCACTATAAAGCGCGGAAATTGCACGTGTACTTAATAATATTATTTTTTTACGTTGTAACTATTTTCGCACCATTTTTCTTCGATTATTTATTTAATATTCATGTTATTACATTAATGCATATATCAAGAATGTATAGCATTCAAATCTAGGTGATTAGATACATTAATTAAATGATTTACTGAATATATTATTAACAATTATTTTTAATGTTATTTGCAGGTAAGTGGCTGGCTTTTAACAACAACTTGATTCAAGACATTCACTCGAGAGTGAAATACTAATACGTTTCAAATTCATATGAAGGTACGGTAATAGAGGTAAGAACCTACAACAAAGTACCTACTCATAACAATATAAACTTGATTTTTTGACAACAAAACTTTTCAAAAAACATTGTATTCAAGGTAATCATACTTATCTACCAATTAAGGAGCATCAAAACTCTGAGAATCACAATTTTATTAGACGATTCTTCTAAATCCTTTCTGGCTAACAATCTCAATCTTAATTTTTTTGGAAAGGGCTCCTTCTAAGTTCAAACAAAGACGATGGGGAAGAGGGGGGTCCGACTTTTTTAATTTTTGCTGATTAAAAATCTTTTCAATGGAAACAATTACTAGACTGAAGTGAAGGTATTTTCTAAAGTTTCGTTTATATCCAAAAGGGAACCAATTAATATGTAATTTTAATAATCATTACTTTGACTGTGATTATTGAGATAGATAAACAAATAGAAAATAAGTCATTTCAAGCGTTAATGGCTAAATTTATCACCTGATACTAGTTCAAAGTTTCATTTACTTTAATATTATACCTAACAATAATTATAAATATTATTCAATTAGCAAAAAGAAATTCTAAAATTATTAAATTACTAAAAATGTGGTCATATAATACCCCAAACTAAGGCAATAGTTTATAAATACATAAAAATGTTTTTAATTGAATTAAACATTAATCAGAAGGCGTAATCTTGAACACCCTGTACTATAATCACGATCTTTATTATAATAAAAAGTATATTTCGTTAAAAATGCCTCCGCTAACTGCATCACAAAGTTTCTTTTTTGATCGCGTTTGCCGAGACGTCTGCCGCCGTCTTGTTTCGTGAATGAAAGTTTTGCCGGATTGCGCTGCTAACATTTTTTTTCTGAGACAACCTTGACGCCCGCGGCGCCTTTGAAACTCTCGAGCTTCAAAAGTAAAAGTTTAAGCGTGCGCTCGGGTAAACTCACGCACAACACGTGCTTTGCCTCGTAAGTAAACAAATTCGCGACTATGCAAATTACATTAACAAAATACATGAACCTAATTAAAAATGAGCACATCAAAACACTAGCAATTCTTTTGTAGGTACAGTACGAAACAAAATCATTAATCGAACATAAGGTCCTTAGTTAGAAATTAAACAGTGTAATCAAAATTACACTTTTTAGAAGTTGACATTACATCTCTTAAAAAATTGAAAATAAAAGCTCAAATTTCTTATTTATGGAGAAGTGAATAAATAATAATAACAACAGTCTTGGTATTACAAAGTTTGAAGACCTACCTGAGGTGCAATATTCCTTTCACCAGTGCGTAGTCTCGGTCCTAATCTGCATGAAAATAATACACAATAAGAATTCTTACGTCCTTTATCTCTACAACACGATCGGTGACGTACGACAACACGCCAAAGACGAATCAATGGAGAAAAGTTGAAAAAGTTTGTAGGAATTGTGCGCGTCAAATGCGTAATTGCGCGCAACGAATAGCGGATACGGAAAGTTCAATTTGAAAACGCGTTAGCACCGCAACTCTCTATGTCTCCGGTCGAAACGGTGAGTAATACAAAAAGAGAGAATGGATACAGAGGTCTAGTAGTATTATAGAAATGTGTTGGTTTGTGTGTGTCATTTACACTCCCGATTACACTTGTTTGAGAAGCCACGACGACGTAGTAGCAGCAGCAATGTGTATGTTCGAGAAAGGGGAACTGGTATTCGGTCCTCCGCCATGTGGGGAGAAAGATTAAACTGGCGCACGCTTACATGCACAGCTCGGCAGAAGAGTTGGCTGTTCAGTATTCGGATTTGAAAATACTCTCTAACCGACGGAGAGTCGTAGAAAGCAGAAGCGAACGTGGTCTTGGTCCTTGCCCCTTCCAACCCTACTGTTATTGTCGCGACGGACGGAGTCTCGGCTCGGGGGGTTGCCCCTCGCTCAAAGGCTCGCCCCAATGAACTCGAAAATCGCACCGTCGAGCCACGCATGAGCGAAAATTGTAATTAGATTCTTATTAACGTCCACTTCGCTACTGAATCACACTGACACTAATAATAGAAAAAAGGAGAGAAAGAAAAAAGAAATAAATGCAAACTTGAGTGCTGCACCATTCTAATGATGATATACACATACGTGTGCATACGTGTGTAAGTATTTTACACAATCAACTCCTAAATCGTTTTTATTTCTGTTTTTGTGAAATCCGTCACACTGCTAGGAAGTTTTCAAAATATAAAGCGGAACAGGTTAACAGTAAAAGATAAATTAAAAACGAAGCAAGTTTTCCTTATATATGTACCTACAAACTTTTACGGAAACTAAAAAATGTATCCACCGTGTGATGCAAGAGGAGGAATGAATAGTGAAATGATTCTGAGTTTCCTAATAAATAACTCGACAAGACCCGTTCTTGTTATCGAATTGAGGATAAAGACGAAAAATCACTCATAATGAAAATTTGTCCTTCGAAATATGAACCACCTGGAACTATTCGAATCAAACGGTGTCCCTTATAAGTTTTCACTAAGTACCTACAAACTTGTACAAAAATTAAAAGATGTATGCACCGCGTGATGCAAGAAGGGGAATGAACAGTGAACTGGTTTTGGATTTCCTAATAGATAACTCGACAAGACCCGGTCTTTTTGTTTTGTTATCGAATTAGGGATAAAGAAGAAAAATCACTCATAATGAAAATTTGTCCTTAGAAATATGAACCACTTGGAACTATTCCAATCAAACGGTGTCCCTTATAAGTTTTCACTAAGTACCTGCAAACTTGTACAAAAATTAAAAGATGTATGCACCGCGTGATGCAAGAAGGGGAATGAACAGTGAACTGGTTCTAGGTTTTCTAATAGATAACTCGACAAGACCCGGTCTTCTTGTTTTGTTATCGAATTAGGGATAAAGAAGAAAAATCACTCATAATGAAAATTTATCCTTAGGGATACGGACCACCTGAAAGTATTCCAAAGAAACGGTGTCCCTAACAAGTTTTCCCTAGGTACCTGCAAACTTTTACGGAAACTAAAAAATATATCCATCGTGTGATGCAAGAGGAGAAGTTAATAGTGAAATGATTCTGAGTTTCCTAATAAATAACTCGACAAGACCCGGTCTTGTTATCGAATTGAGGATAAAGACGAAAAATCACTCATAATGAAAATTTGTCCTTCGAAATATAAACCACCTGGAACTATTCCAAACAAACGATGTCCCTAATAAGTTTTCCCTAGGTACCTGCAAACTTGTACAAAAACTAAAAGATGTATGCACCGCGTGATGCAAGAGGGGGAATGAACAGTGAAATGGTTCTAGGTTTTCTAATAGATAACTCGACAAGACCCGGTCTTCTTGTTTTGTTATCGAATTGGGGATAAAGAAGAAAAATCACTCTTAATGCAAATTTATCCTTAAAGATATGAACCACCCGAGACTATTCCATACAAACGGTGTCCTTAATAACAAGTTTTCCCTATGTACCTGCAAACTTGTACGAAAACTAAAAAATGTATGCACCGTGAAATGATAGATAACTCGACAAGACCCGGTCTTCTTGCTTTGTTATAGAATTGAGATAGAGTAGAGGATAAAGTAGAAAAATCACTCTTAATGCAAATTTGTCCTTAGAGATATAAGCCACCTGAAACTAATCCAAAGAAACGGTGTCCCTAACAAGTTTTCCCTAGGTACCTGCAAACTTTTAGGAAAACTAAAAAATGTATGCACCGTGTGATGCAAGAGGAGAAATGAATAGTGAAATGATTCTGAGTTTTCTTATAAATAACTCTACAAGACTCGGTCTTGTTATCGAATTGAGGATAAAGACGAAAAATCACTCATAATGAAAATTTGTCTTTAGAGATATGGACCACCTGGAACTATTCCAAACAAACGATGTCCCTAATAATTTTTCCCTAGGTACCTGCAAACATTTAAGAAAACTAAAAAAATGTAAGCGCGTGTGATGTAAGAGGAATAATGAACAGTGACATGATTCTGGATTTCCTAATAAATAACTCGACAAGACCTGGTCTTCTTGTTTTGTTATGGAATTGGGGATAAAGAATAAACATTACTCCTAATGCAAATTTGTCCTTAGAGAAATGGGATACCTGAGACTGTTCCAAACAAAAGTGTTCCTGTTTCAGTGGAACAATTCCATGGCTAGGGAGTATCAAGGTTAGCCAACACTGATATAGCTATTAGCAATTTTAAAGGCTGAGAAGTCTGTTTATAATATGTAACAATATTTCCAATAGCACCTGAAATAAAATATTTGATATTCTTGTTTTTTAGTTAGAAATATTGCAATTCTATTAAAACAAGCTCGCGTTGATGTCCTAAGCTGATAAATTTGTTCTTAAATCCGGACCAGGATCATCAGGATAAAACTAAAGTTTCTAATTTTCTAGGTTAAACATACACTTTGCGTACAATGACATTAAATATTGTCCTTCTTTATCAGTATGTATTACTCCTTGTGTGTACCCCCGCCAATGTGTGTATAAAATTTCATGATAGTCGGTTGAATGATTTTTTCTTTTCTATGTAACTACAGTTTACGCCAAGAAACATATCTTTTATAATTTCATATTTCTATTTTACTAAAATTCTTATTCCTAACAGTACTATTTTAGACGAAGAAGTTAACAGTAAAAAACAGGTTAATAAAAGACAAAGTTTTCCTACATGTATTCGAACTTTTACGAAAAATTATATCATTAATTTTGGGCTAAATTAGCTTATGACGACTGAAGAAAAAATAGGTAATAACATAACAATGTACTTCTTAAAGTCGAAAAAGTTAAGTTTGTCACATAATTCTTGAGTACAAAATTAGAAATTAATGGTTTTCGTTTATTTTTTTCCTTTAGTTTATGTCAAATTTCAAAATTAGGATGCACAAAATAGAATTTAATTATTATCAGTCGATGAGGACAGACGCAGACAGATCATTTTTCCATTTTGGAGTACAGTACCTACCCTAAACATGAAAGGAATAGTTAACGATTTATCGTTATGTTAATGGCAAGCTTGGAACCACAATTTATGCCTATTTGAAAAATCATTTATAATAATATTCTAGTGGCATTATAACGTATAGCAGTATTAGCATCTAGCAAGGAAGAGTTAGAGATAGCTTTAAATTAAATGGATGCAGTATTGAAAAAAACGGTACTGTATGAAAATAAATAAAAGTAAAACAAAAATACTGGTATGCAAAAGAAGAAAAAGTAGGGAAAGAGCATATATAAAGATAGATAGATAGAATTAGAAGAAGTGGCTGATTTTAGGTACCTAGGAAGTCAGATAAGTCAGGACGGAAGGAGTAGTAGGGATATAAAACAGACTATAGCGCAGGGTCGAGTCGCCTTCAATAAAAAGAAGTCACTTCTTTGCTCGCGAACGGTTAATTTAGAAATTCGAAAAAGGTTGTTACAGGTGTATGTTAGGAGCGCGGCGCTGTACGGGTGCGAAACATATACAGTGGGCGCGGCGAAAAAGAAAAGGTTAGAACCGTTCGAAATGTGGCGTTACAGGCGAATGATGAGGATACCGTGGATAGAGAAGATTAGAAAGGAAAAGATCTAGTGAGAGACATCTTGGAGGCAGAAACGGGAGTTAGGAGGGGTAAAGGTAGACCCAGATTAGATTAATGTTCGCAAATAGTTAAGTATGTGGGTTGTTCTAGTTTTAGGGAAATTCGAAGATTAGCTCAGGATAGAATAGAGTGGAGGTGCGTGTCCAACTAGTCTTAAAACTGACGACCTTATGATGATGAGCATTATAATGAAGAAAAGTCACCACCTTTGTTTTTGTCAAGTGTGACCACACTATTCTAGATTTAAGTTCCATATAACCCAAGACGTCTTGAATTCAGGGATAATCTAACAATCTGTATATATGTATGTATAAGTATATAAAAGGATAAACTGACTGATATATCAACGCACAGCCCAAACCCCTCGATCTAGGTACTTGAAACTTTGCACAGACGTTCCTTATACATAGTAGGCGAGTACTAATAAACATTTTTTTTAATATTCAATCCCTAAAAGGGTAAAAAAGTGGTGTACAGATTGATGTATTGATCAAGGCAGAGCCCAAACCGCTGAGTCAGGAAGTTTATTGCACAAAGGTTCATTATACAACGAACAACGGTATCATCTCCTATTAAATATGTTATCAAAATACCACCCCTAAGGAAAGTGTAAAAGTTTAACAGATCTTAAAATTATTTAAAAAAATGTTACCTAAGGCACTAAGGGTTTACTTTTTTAACTTATGTTGGGAATAATTTCAAGTGCTATGCACTACCAACACTACAACAATAGCAGTATTAGAATTTAGCAAGGAGGACATAAAGATGGCTTTAAATAAAATGGAAGCGGTACTAACAGATCAGTACTAAAATACTGATATGCAAGGGAAGAAAAAGTAGGGAAAGAGCGAATATAAAGATAGGAAACGAAAAATTAGAAGAAGTGGCTGATTTTAGATATCTAGGAAGTCAGATAAGTCAGGACGGAAGGAGTACTAGGGATATAAAGCAGAGGGTAGCGCAGGGTCGTGTCGCTTTAGAAGCTTTCGAAATGTGGTATTATTGGCGAATGATGAGGATAACGTGGGTAGAAAAAGTTAGAAATGAAGAGATATTAGAAAGAATAGGAGAACAGAGGACTATGGAAGTCAATAAAAAATAGGCGAGATAGGTTGGTAGGACACCTTCTCAGACATGAAGGTCTAGTTAGAGACATATTAGAGGCAAAAACAGATGTTAGGAGGGGTAAAGGTAGACCTAGGTTAGACTATTGTTCGCAAATAGTTAAGGATGTGGGATGTTCTAGTTTTAAGGAAATGCGAAGATTAGCTCAGGATAGGAA